TGCTGAGAGGAATTTTAACGACGTGGAATGGTGGGATAGATGTATAATCGGAGGGGAGTGATGAAATCAACTGGAACGTAGGACTGTTTCCCTGGAGGAACCATGACTGTATAAATCCAAGACTATCGTCGCGAGCCTGATACAGCTTGAGCGGATCGTATTGACAAAGGGCTAGCAACAGGGCTACCCAACTCTCTTTCACTTCCTCGCCCCTCGACCTAAATAACATGATCTATCTGTGAACTATCCCAGGAAAGGGTGGGATGAGATGGGGGACCGGGGGGCATGTCCAGGATACGCCAAGCCGCGGAGAAGGATGGGGCTTTCCATCGACAAAAGGTCGTCACCAAAAGCTTCCGTGTAAGCCATGTCTACGATCGAAAGAGGCCATGTCCGCAGCCAATCAAGACCCTGTCGCAACCCCAATAGGCACAACAGTGAACAGGCAGTTAAAGTGTCTGCATCTGTTTCTCTGCACGCCGGCCGCCGAGGGCGTCGGGCGGATGCAAGGGAGGGAGGGAGGGTCGAGGGTCGATGGCGAAGCGGGTCTCGCACACCAAGCAGTGCTTCTCAATGCTCTCTCTCCCGTGGCAAAGACAATCCTTTCCAAAGTCTGTTTTGCCGACAACCGCGTAGGTATGCGAGAGAGATTGACATCAGACAAAGATGGCCTCTAGAGTCCTCCACCCCCATGAGCCGCATTCTTCGTTCCTGGGCTGCCGTCAGCTCATGACCACGTCATGCTTTGCTTGGCCACCAGAAATCTCTATCGCAACGGCTGCTATTCTGTTCGCGTCGCCACCTTGGCCTGGCGGCGGGTACCAGTGGGGGAATCGGAGAGATCGAGCCGTTGTAACTTGTAGGTATATGGGAGAGGGGCGAAAAAAAAACCGGTACAACACTGCCAATTGCCATTGCCCTTCCCAAGGGCGCAGCGACAACGGCCCTGGGCCAGGGAATGCTGGGCACATTGAATACTTTGCCATCTTTTTGTCCTTCTTCGTGCGGTATGTATTGCATTTTGCGAGAAGGGGAGCCAAATAGTTCTGTTTGTTCTGCTCCCTATCATGTTAATCCTCCAGTGCGTCCTCATCGTTGCCAATATTAACCTTTTTCCTCCCTCCGCCAGTAAGTTGTTGGAGGGCTACCTTATTGACTTGGCGCCCGACCTTACGCTGCATCTTTTCAATCTCCTCTTCTGCGTCTACAGCCTCGGCATCCGCAAAGTCTAATACTAGGCGGCGCCCCAGGAGGTGGGTGTCCTTCAAAGCGTTCAGTGCATTCTCCGCTTCTCGGGCGGTCACAAAGTCGGCGAATGCAAATCCTCTTGCGGTAGAGTCAGGCTTTCTTGGGACCCGAACCGACCTTAGCTGCCCATAAGATCCCAGCAGCGACCGCACGTCCTTCTTGGTGGCTTGGAAGGGTAAGTTCTTGATGACGATCTTGGTCCTCTGTGCGGCTACCTTCTTAGCCCGGTCTTCCCGCCGCCGTTCTTCAGCTGCGTCATGTCCTCTGTGGGATGCCTTGACGCCTAAAGTGTGGCCGTCCAGCACGTGACCATCCATAACTTTCAGTGCTGCCTGTGCCTGCTCCTTGGTTGAAAACTCCACAAACCCAAATCCCATGCTGAGCGTTTGGCCCGGCTTTTGGGGGTCAGTCTTAGTCTTGACTCTGGCGGAAATAAATCCGTCAAGAACCTTGAAAGCCTCAGCCATCCTCTCAGTAGTGGTGGTGAAGTTTAAATTGCGGATGAAGAGAGAGGTAGTTTCCACCTCCTCCGCCTTATCACCGCCTGACAGCAGCTCACTAACACTAAGTTTCTGCACTCCAGTCACTTGCTGGTTCACCATCCGACTGACTTGAGTAGAGTGGTCTCCTTTGAGCAAATTCTTGGGTGCCTTTTCTAGAAAAAGCACGCTGTCTCTGATTCTTCTGTATGCGAGCTTACCGAATGCGGCTTTAGCGTGATTGGGCTGCGCAAATTGCACAATCGCTATGGTACCAGTAGGCGGCATCAGAACTAGAAGCACTTGACCGTGCTCCTCAAACATTTTTCTGATCTCGTCCATGGTAGTACCGTACGGGAAATTCTTCACCAATATGGTGTCATCTCCCCGTCTCGTAGATTTAAAAGCATCCAGATCCACCCCATTGGCGGCAAAGTAGGCCTTCGTTTCCTGAATCACTGACGTCTCGGCAATGGCCTGCTTGATAGCAGCGTCAGTCGATGTCGGATCAAGCAGATCGGACTTTGAGACACCCAATCGTGTCGCCACCGATTCGTTGACGGCATTCTGGTTCATGTAGAGGGAGTTCCAGTTGAAACTGTTCGAAGCAGCCTCTGCTTTCTTACGTATCATGTTTTGTTTCTTCAGGGGTAGCTTGGAAATTCCAAACTCATCCAATCCCTGCTCTCGTTTGGGGTTGGCTGGAATGATGTGTATGATCCGCCCCTGAAATGTCGCCCCATCCAGTGCTTGGAATGCCTTCACGGCATCAGACGCGTCTACAAAGTGGATCAGGGCAAATCCCTTTGTTGACCCCGATGCAGTTAGAGGAAGATGCACCTAACCTCAACATGTCAGTACGTTGTTCTCTTGTGAGGATAGCAAAAGAAATATCGCGGAGTGGAAGAGGATTCAACGCGTGTAGGCATTGGCTCAGACAATCGAAGCATCTACTAAAATTTTCGCCCAGGTTCACATCATATACCGTAGTATAAGCTGTCCCTATCTTGGGGTTCATCATTGCGCCTAAGAAATCGGAGTAAAGGGGGTGTGTGTGCTTGAGGTGGCTGCAGAAAATATAGCGACGTACCTCTTGGAGAGCTCCGAATCGCTGAAAGGCTTCCCGCAAATCATCTTCAGTGGTGCTGTATGACAAATTTCGGGCAAAAAGTCTAGACGTGCGAGAGATGACTTGCACAGCGTCTTCTTGCCTTTCCATCGCCTGACTCGTCATCACCTCCTCAGCCATGTCAGCCATGTCTGGCATGGCCACGTCTGTGGAATGCGATGTTTGTTCGTCGACTTTAATGTCTTGCTCTTTGCTAGACATCGCCACAGAGGCCAGGTCATCGGGGTCAACTAGATCGAGTAGTCTGTTTGTGCGTGATCGTAACCAGTCGTCATCCGTGGCGGCTCCTGATGCTGGAACGGCGTGATCGGCTGTCTCCAAATCAAGTTTCTCGATCTTGCCTTCGACAGCCTTCACTGGTGTGTCATCGCCTTGAAGTCTCTCCTCCTTTTTTGATGGCTTACAGACGACTGCCTCCGATTTGTCCTCATGTGCGTGTAGTTTCCTTGTTTTCTCTTTTCTCATTGGGACTTGTTCATATTCGTCATCGCTCTCGTTCTCAGGGACAGCAAGCTGTCCAGCTTCGGAGGCATAACTTGTTCCGACGGCGGGATTTGTTTCATCTGCAATGACACCTTCTCTTCCTGTCTTCATGACTTGCAGGAACTCCCGTAGCTTAGGATCAGACGGGTTCTGATCTTCTCGCTTCCGCTTCTTTGGGTTCGCATCCTTCTCCACACTTTGACTCCCTGGCACAGTGAGAGCTGGTTGGGGTGCATTGTGTCCCTGGAGCGAGGCTGATTCTGAGATCTAGCATTCCATCAGCGACTAGCGCACAGGGGCAAAGATCCGGGTAAGAACCTACAGGTCGTGCGGTCTCGACCGACAGCTTGGACATGCGGATGTATGACCTGTTGAAGTACTTGATAGCACTTGTCGCATCATCTTGGCTCTTGTAGCCGACGTAGGCGATCCGGCGCTGCGGTAATAGCTTGACATCGGTGATCTCGCGATCATTGGCGGAGAAATGTTTGCGAAGTTCCGGCTCTGTGATGTTCGGGGGCAGGCCCTTGATAAAGATTCGCGACGTAGCCATAATTCAAATGGGAAAGGGGAGAACCTGAAAAGATGGTGGCATGGTGAATGAATGAATCTGCCCGCATTCTCAAAGACATGGAAGGAGCCACGAAAAAAAAGTTGCCGAATCTTATCACTTCGCGCGTATGGGGCCTGGTCCGTGCGCGCTGAGACTTTCATCACAGGCCTATGGTACATCATATGTACATGCGTACAGACCAATTATGTATGTACATATGTACATACGTACGTTACCTGTAACCTAAGGGCGTCCGAAACTACCCTACAAGATATACATATTTCGAAATCGTCAACAGCCAGACAAACAGAGATTGGGAGCTTGATTATGAGTTTTTACTTATCATTGTTGGTTGAAAAATGGAACTTTGGCGCGTTTTTGTTGTAGCATCGCAACATGCCGTCTCCAACAACTCACAGGCGGTAGTCCTCGACAAATTTCCACACGTATATATATCTCAACAAAAGCATCCGCTTTACGACAATGAGATACATGTATCTGTCTTCGTACGAACTAACGAACTAGTAGTCATTCAAATAGAAGAGCCTTTTTACAACAATACTGCTATGATCTACCTGACATGATTATACCCAGCCTGTGATGAGCTGGCCTAGGATGGTTGCTGCACTCTAGCGTTGACAATGGAATTGTTTCTCTTGAGGAGAAAGAGAGAAGAAGGGTCCTCTCGTCCCCTGATGCTATCCCAAGTACAAAGATGCGCGCGCCCCACTCTCTCACACTAAGAAGGAGACTGTGAGGAACGCATAACCACCCCCGTTCCGCCCAAAAGGTCAAGTGACCAAGTCGCACGTCTGCAGCTTGATCGAGCTTATATAGTGCATTGTCACAGCAGCACAGACGGCACTGTACAGACCGTGACAGAGACGAGCCAAAGCTCGAATCCATGGCACAGCTTTTGCATTGAATTAGTATGTACCACATAATCGTGTCTCTGTTCTCTAACAAGCTGATCCGCAAAACCAAGTCGTAAAACGGACACACCCAAATTTAATACATATGTAACCAGGCACTACCTTGTAACCAATGGATCAAAACGCCCAAAAAGGACGGGAACCTTCGCCGTTCGAGGTTAGCGATACCAAAAAGTTGATGAGACTGGGACTCGAACCCAGGCGGATTTCTCCATCAGGAAGTAGATAACTGTTGAGGTTGGAACCTTAACCTGACGCCATAACCAACTCGGCCATCTCACCATTGAATGAAAAGTGTGACCTTTCTGTAATATATGAACCTTTTACAGCAGCTTCTCAAACTGCATCGTCGTTGCTCAAGAGTCGTCAAGGCAAACCCATCACACGCGATTCGTTGCAGCTGCAAGAAGACTTCTGTTGGGAAAGTCAGGTTGATTCCAGGCTTATGACAGTCCCGAGAGCCGCCAACATGCAGCATCCACTGCCATCCAGCACCGTCTCAGATAAGATGGTCGCCAGCCAACTTTTGTCTGCGCCTCATTCAGTTTCTCGAGTGTGCGGACTACTGACGGCTGGGCTTGAACGCTAATTCATTTACGGAGTACTCTGTAATCGTGACTGCTACCCTTCGGAGTATGTAGATACATATGTAGGTACCTATTGCAACACTTATCCGGCTCTCGCTCGGCGATCACTCCGAGGTTGCATCTGAGCTTTCGAATAGACTTTCAGCCCCAGGTTTTGTTCATTGCGCAAGCCAAATCGAGAATGCGCGAGGCTGCATACCGAGCTTTTATGTTGCAGTAGACTTGAAGTTCCATGCCGATACTGTACATAGGTAGGTACATCCATCGATGTCTACGAAGAGGGAGGGAGGGATGGAATAGGTAACTACATACACCAAGTTGTATCTCACCTCACTTCCACTTGTCAATGGCACAAATTTGTACTCCGTAGGTTGAGCTGATTTGATTATCGCCCAGTGCCAGAGGGAGACTAGCCAGGAATCGGGGTTGGCAGCAAGTGAGAGGCAACTTGCCGTCGAGAGTTTGACGGGAGACCTTATTTTTCACCCCAAACTACGTAGAGATTTGTATAGCCAAACCGACCCAAGACAGCTTCTTTTCAGCGCTCCCACGTTCCATGAAAAATACCATAATCAGCCATACGTTGTATCGTCCAAAATTGAGCTTCATTTTGAGCCCATAATCATATCCTTCCCAGCACGGCCTCAACGGGACGACGACAAAGCGAGATGATGTCAAGTACATACACCATCATTGGCTGTGCTACATCGCACTATTTCGTTTTAGGTAATTTGGGGTGAAAATTAAGGTCTCCCGAGTTTGACCAACTTCACGGAATGCCAGCCATTAGATCTGACCAATGGCGAATTTGGGGTTGCCCCGCCACTGGGTCTCGGACCCTGAATACTGGAACCAGTGACTAGTGACCACTGACCAGTCAGCAGTTGAAACAGCTACCTATGCACATGTGTACCTTGATTCCTTGAACGTTTGTATCAAACGAGGCACTTCATCTGACGACGTTGGTCCAACACGAAGCTTCCTGTTGGGTTTGCCTAAACGTTATATCGCTCACATTTTCACACACACCATCTTTTGGAACCAGCGCCTCACCTATCCCATCACTGCCACGCTGCGCCTTCGCCTCTCGATACTCCACCAGAGCAACCCCCCGCTCTCCTTGCCACTTGTGGTCTTGTGTGCCGTCTCAACCACATTAGCTGGCGGAAAAATTTACATTAAAAGTACTTTGTCTATCGGGTCTCTTTGGTGAGGTATACTAGTAGCCACAATGGACAAAGTCAAGGACATTCTACACATGGGTTCCAAACAGGACAACAACAAGCCCGTTGAGCCATCCGCAGAGGTCTTGACCGATCTCAAGGCCAAGTACACCGAAGCTGGTCAAGGGCATGTCCTGAATTTCTACGACTCGCTCAACACCCAAGACAAGGCAACTCTCTACGAACAACTCTCCGGCTTCAATCCAGGTTATATCAACGAAATCACCAAACGCGCCTTGGACGAGACCAAGTCAGACAAACCTGATACCCTCGAACCCCTCCCTGAGTCTGCTCAAGCCAGCATCCTCGACTCGAGCACAGATAGCATCAACAAGTGGTACAGATGTGGCCTGGATCTCATCAGCAAGAACAAGGTAGCTGTTGTCCTCATGGCCGGTGGCCAGGGTACACGGCTGGGTAGTTCAGCGCCCAAAGGCTGCTACGACATTGGCTTGCCTTCCCACAAGAGCCTGTTCCAGATCCAGGCCGAGCGAATCCGCAAGGTCCAGGAGTTAGCTACTAAGGAAGCTGGTACAGCATCATCCGTAGTTGTGCCCTGGTACGTCATGACCAGTGGCCCGACTCATCAGCCCACCGAGCAGTTCTTCGAAGAGAACAAGTACTTTGGTCTGGACAAGGCCAACGTCAGGATCTTTGACCAGGGCGTTCTGCCTTGCATCTCCAACGAGGGCAAGATTCTGCTCGAGAGCAAGGGCAAAGTGGCCGTTGCCCCCGATGGCAACGGCGGTATCTACCAAGCTCTCGTTGTGTCCGGCGTCCTCGACGACATGCGCAAGCGAGGCATCGAGCACATCCACGCATACTGCGTAGACAACTGCCTCGTCAAGGTCGCCGACCCCGTCTTCATCGGGTTTTCTTCCTCCCTGGACGTCGACATTGCCACAAAGGTTGTGCGAAAGCGCGATGCCACCGAATCCGTTGGCCTGATTCTCTGCAAAAACGGCAAGCCAGATGTAGTCGAGTACTCGGAGATGGACAGCGCTACCGCAGAGGCGCAAGACCCCAAGCAGCCCGGAATTCTCAAGTTCCGTGCCGCCAACATCGTCAACCACTACTACTCGTTCCGCTTCCTGGAAACGATCCCCCAGTGGGCGCACAAGCTGCCGCATCATATTGCCAGGAAGAAGATCCCCTTTGCTGATACCGAGACCGGCGAGACAGTGAAGCCTGAATCACCAAATGGCATCAAGCTCGAGCAGTTTGTCTTTGACGTATTCCCCATGCTGCCTTTGAATAAATTCGCATGCATGGAAGTGCGCCGCGAGGACGAGTTTTCTCCTCTCAAGAACGCCAGGGGCAAGAACCAGGATGATGCGGACACCAGTAAGAGTGATATCATGGCGCAGGGTCGGCGGTGGGCCGCCGCGGCTGGAGCTACTGTTGTGGCTGATGGGGGGATTGAAATATCTCCTCTGATTAGCTATGTAAGTTTGGATTCCTACCACATGGACGTACACCTAGGCTAACGATGCATTGTGAAAAGGGCGGCGAGGGTCTCGAAAAGCTCCGTGGCACGACCATTACCGCTCCTGCCGTATTGGAGCGTGAGTAAGAGTTGGTAGCGGGACGAGTGATTGGAAGCCTTTTGCGGTGGGGAGACATGATGATAATAGTAGGAGAAAGATGCTCGTCGGATTCATTTGTGCGTTATTTGTTGAGCCTTCATTTGCATTGCGCCAGGAATGATTCTATAGTGGGAATCTCGTTAATCCATTCATGCGCGTCACTAATTAGATGACGACGCATTTATTTGGCTACGGGAGCAGGAATGTGACACGCACGTTTGTAAAGCCATGTATCTGGGATGTATTCGAATAAAGCACCCACGAGCTAGTTTGGAAGGCGGACAATTTGAGTCACTGACTTCTGGGAATCGGGATACACGCAACCCAGCTGCACTCGCATGGTTGTTTCCTCACCACCAATACATGTCGTCACGCGAAATGTGTTACGTTGAGGCGATGCTTTTGCTTGAGCAAAAAAGATCGGACAAGAAGAAGCAAAAAGGAAGAGCCGTTCTCCCTGTGTGTCCGAGCTGTTAAATCTCACGGTGAATTGGCCTTTTGTATATATGCATCTACAGTTATCTACATATGTGTTGTATAAGTCGTGACGTAGCAGAGCCCCCGTTCGAGGCCCCTCCGCTATGTCGTATCTATCATTGTAATTTGTGCCCAACTATGATTGCTACACTCATCTACAATCGTGCTCTTGTGTGGGTTTCATCTCGCCTTGTCCGTCCAGTCCACCACTATTCCAAGTCTGCAAGAAACTTCTCAGCCTCGAGAGCAGCCATACAGCCCGTTCCTGTACCAAAGAATGTTAGCGATCGCGTGACTCGGTCCTAGTGTTCCCTTGTTGCGACTGGCCCTTTTTTATTTGTACAATCGTGCTCTATGCCATCCCTTGCAGGCAACAGATGGGCAAGAAAGAGAAAACAGACTCAACAGCAAAAGAGGGAAAGCAAACAAGGGATCGGGGATGGAGAGCAAACACACCTGCACTAGTAATGGCCTGTCTGTACCGCTTATCCTGCACATCACCAGCAGCAAAGACACCCTCCACACTGGTAAGCGTCGTGCCAGGCTTAGTCACAATATAGCCATCAGCATCCATGTCCACTTGGCCCTTGACGAGCTTAGTGGCCGGATCATGCCCAATAGCATAAAACAAGCCATTCGCCTCCACAACCTCGTCCTTCCCAGAGACGGTATCCTTAACCACAAGGTGCGACATGAGGCCATCCGACTCAGAGCCTCTGATCTCCGTGGCAACAGTGTTGAAGCGCACAGTGACCTTGTCGTTCTTGAGCAGCCGCGTCGCCATAGTCTTGCTGGCGCGCAGGGCATCTCGTCGAACAAGCACAGTGACGTGGCTGCCATACTTTGTCAAAAAGGTGGCCTCCTCGGCAGCCGAGTCGCCGCCTCCAATGACGTAGAGTGGCTTATTGCGGAAGAGCGGGAGGGCGCCGTCGCAGACCGCGCAGGCAGAGATGCCGTTTTGCCAGTACTTGTCCTCGCCGGGGAGATTCATGCGGCGAGCGGACGCGCCGGTGGCGATGATGACGGAGTCGGCAGTGTGAGTCTCGTCGGGGGAGAACTCGGTGGTGTACTTGAAGGGCCGGGCGGAGAGATCGAGCGTGTGGACTGTGTCGGTGATGATTTCGGTGCCGAAGCGCTCTGACTGGGCCTTCATGTTGTCCATGAGTTCCTGGCCCATGATGCCCTTGGGGAAGCCGGGGAAGTTTTCGACTTCGGTCGTCGTGGTGAGTTGGCCGCCTGCGGCGATGCCATTGGCCATGAAGCCCTCATAGAGGACGGCTGTTTGAGTAGAGAAAACAAATTAAAATTCGCGTCTTCACATGTAGTTCTTGGAGCAGAGTGATGGAAATGCTTACGCTTCAGTTCCGCGCGAGCCAGGTACACGGCAGCCGTGTGAGCCGCCGGCCCCG